CTTTTCCAAAGAGCATGGGTTCAGTTCCCGTCACCCTGCTGGGTAGATCACCCCACCTGTCTCTCTAGTTCCAGGTGATTTGATGCCCTCTCCTGGACCCCAAGGGCACGTGCACTTACTCACAATGACAAAATGAAATAATTATTTTAAAAAATAGCCCCAAACACAGACACGTCCTCATTTCAGAGCATTGCAACAACAAACCCAGAAGGCAGTGAACCATACTCCCTTGGAAGGACTGAAACTCAAGGGTCACAGCCAAGCGAGGTCAGACTCAGGTTTCCAGATTTAAAACAAAAACAAAAACTAAGACATCTCTCACCCCCAGAAAGAACTAGTGAAGATCCGTGGAGAAGTCTGAGAATGTACCACACTGGACCTGGGTTCAACCCCACCCCCTCCTGCACCGCACGGATGAGCATGGTGGAGCCACTCAGATCCTTACCTGGAAGGAAAGATGAGACATCAGATGACAGGCAGGATGCTTTGAGAACATGATGTGCTCCGTGGACTTGAGAATTGGTTGCATGACATGTCCACAACAGGCTCAGTGGTAGAGCCCTTGCCTGGCATGCCCTGGGTTCAATCCTTAGCACCAAAAACAAAGGCCAGCAGCATGGTAATGAAACAGCAGTACCCAGGTCACAATTCTAGGACACAAAGTCCACTGAATCACAATCTGAGTCTCCCCAATACATAGTCCCTCTGTGCACGCTGTCTCCCAAGCCTCCTACTGCTGTTTCCCCTCAGCAGCGAGACCCTCTTGAAGGGCCCGCCTCCAATTCTATTCAGCCCTGACTACTGTCAGCCGTATACACCTGAAGCTCTGCTTCCACTGGTGAATCGCCACGAAAAAGCACAAAACCTGCAGCACACCACGCCTATCTGCACTCTATGCGCTACCATACAATTCCTGAGCTTCAGGCAAGGAGCTGGAGGTTGAAACACGCAAAGACACACAGACAGAGAGACCTAAACATGGACCTCTAGTCACTGGTAAGAAGCCCTTTATTCAATAGCACCATGGAGGCTTATATACTCAACAGTCAGGTGGGCCAACAGTCAGGTGAAAACCTTATCCTCTGATCCTCAAGGCAAGACAACACGCACTTGTGAAGCAGAGCAGGTAAACAACTTTGACACAGCTTTCAGTAACTCAAATCAGAAGGAAAGTAAAGATCTCTAGCAGGGAAGAGCAGCTGGAGGCCAGGACTCCAAATGGTCCCAACAAAACTGAAAGTGGATTGCTAGTCCTTGAGGCCTCCAGGAATGACAGAAGACACTGCCTGGATGATTAAGGGAGTTAGAAAAAAAAATTGAAAGAAAATTGAGGCCAAGGAAATAGAAAACCAGGAGAATGGGCTAACAGTGACTAAGTAGGCCACTCCTGTGGCCCCAGCTTTTTCCCTCCTGCTTTTCGGGAAAAGGCCCTGCTGCCAAAGAGAGGAATCAGGGAGACACCTGCTGGGCCTCTTGGCAACCCACACTGAAGGTGTAGGTGCTGGGACAGGAGCATGCAGAACCCACCCCTTCTCAGAATGGGGCCCAGGGATTCTCAATGCGGGGGGGGGGGGGGGGTTCCAGAAGCAGCTGCAGCAGCCACACCAGGGAACTTGTCAGAGGTTCAGGTATACAGTCGGCTAGGAAACAAGGTCTCCAGGTAGCACTGACGAGTTACCAGCAAGCTGCCCACCTCATCCACCTTGGAGGCAGCGCACACAGAGGCTGTTTTAACTTAGCAGGTGCTGCAACAATACTGTCAGATGAACTGAACTGTGAGTCCTGGGGCATCCTATGGGACGCTGAGAAGCTTCAACGATGCTCATTGAATGTCTGCGGCTCTCCACCTTAAAGACCAGCCAGAGTCTACTTCCCTGTGCCCTGGAGTCCCTCAGCATTCCAGTGAGGGACCACCAGCGTACCACCAGCCAAGGCTCTGGCTTGATGCTGGCAAGGAGCCAGCCTCAGAGAGCCCAGGTAGACATTAGCCATGAACAAGAAACCAAACATTGCTGTTGGAAGCCTCTGGGACTTTATGTTACTGCAGCATAACCCAGTCCATCCAGTCTGACGCTCAGCCCTTATTTTTAAAGAGCAGAACCTCCCCTCAATGCCTCAAACCCCCAAGTAGGTAACAGCCTGCTCTGAAGAGACATAAAAAGCAGCTTCACACAGGCAGCGACACCAAGACTGTTTCAAGTAGAGGAAGAAAGACTCTTGTGTCCTGTGATCTCTGGAAAATCTTTAATACTTGGCAATCAAGGGGGCACTCAGCTGTGTCTGCAAACCACGAGAAAGGACATGGTGTAACCTAGGAAAGCCGTTGTGAGTAGCTCCGGTGCAATACTCCAGACAAGGATGGCTGCTCTGGGCAGAGGAGCAGGAATAAAGGCAGAGAAAGCGTTCCCCCTAGATCTGTGTTGAGCTTTCTGCTCTCCTGCACACTCAGCCACTATGTCTCCTTATTCCATGCACAGGAGGGCTCAGAGGGGCCAATGGATTCGACCAAGATTGCACAGCGAAGTTAGTGGCAGAATTCACCAAATCTTTCTCTGCTGGACCACCATTCTTCTGCCTGTGAGAATCAAGACTTTAGGAAGGTTTGCTGAGGGAGGGTGATATTCCCTTCCCTGCCTGGAGCACACGTCAGATCGGGATGCTGTTCTCTACCTTCCCATGGCCAGGTGTCCCCATCACAGCTTCCCCCAGCCTGGAGTCTGCACCCCCTCTTAGATGGAATGAAGCCTGTGCAGGGCTGGTCATTCATCCCCATGAGCAGGAAGACAGGGCTGCTGGCAGTGCCATGAGCTTTGTGCTGTCCCTTCAACATTGGTGTCTTGACCCTCTCATTCCCTCAGACATGACCTTTTAAGGAGACAGGGTCTTATAGAGGCAATGAGGTCATTTAGAGAGGGCCTAATGAAGTATAACTTAGGTTCTTATAGAAAGAGGAAATCTGAACACACACACACACACACACACACGGCTAGCCCTCACTCTTCCTGGTGAGTTCACCTCCCCTGTTACGGCTACTGCTGATTCCTTTGCTGATAGAACCGGCTTCCCTGGGCTTCCAACACGGGCTAGAGAGCAGCAGCCCTTCAGGAATCCTCCAGACCTACAGCCCCGGATTGGGACTGCCAAGATAACGAGGCCTCCTGGGCTGAGCAACTTCTGGGTTCTCAATCTCTCTGGTGGGCGATGGCCATTGTTGGATCGCTAGGACTGTACTGTGCAACTCAGTCTTGAGAATCCTGACTATGTGCAGTGTGGGTTCCCAGGGAAATATTTATGAACCCCTTGAACAGCTGAAGTCAAAGCCAAGGCCACAGAGAAGGAAACCGACATTTGCAAAGGCCCTCCTCTGCGTCTTGCAATGCAGCTGATGCTGGCCCCATTTTACAGGTTTGCAAACTGAAGTCAAGAGAAGTAATATCTCACATGGGCTCGTGAAGCAGGAGCTGGTCTGTCTAACCTGTTGGAGAGCACAGTCCCTGGAGCCCAGACAGCCTAGACTCCGGCACAAGTGCTGCCACTTCCTGGTTATATGATCTTGACCAAATTACTTATGTTACCTGTGACTCAGTTTCCCTATCTGCAAAATGAAACAATGATACCTGTCCCCACAGGACTGTTGTTTGACAATGAATGAGACACAGTTAGAATTGTGCCCAGCACATTTTGACTACTTGACTCCATGACAACCAAGAGGCCGGCAGTGGCAGGCCTGCTCTACAGCACTGCTGATGTGTCGCCCTGTCTGGGCTTGCTGATCCCTAGTCAAGCCTGGCTGGCTCTCCTCTGTGTGGTCAGAGCAGTGGTCTTCAGTAATGATCTCACTTCTACCAGCGTACCCCAGAACAACCTCCATCCACAGAGAGGTGCCGGCCCAGGGCTCATTCTAGCTTGGTACTCAGTCCAGCAACTGGAAAAGCCTCAGTGATCCGGCCAGTGTGCCTTTCTTTGTACTTTTCCTGAAGTACCATCACTACTGGGCTGACCTGGAGCATCCTGCACTCATCCTCAAGGGCGATTAGAATTGAGTTTCTCTAGCGTGAGAGGCAATGTAAGCCCAGGAGGGGAACCATCACATCATTCCCAGCTCTAGCACACGCACCTGTCCGCGTTCTTTCTGGCCCAGGAGAATACTAGCAAGGTTCGTCACTCTCTGAGTGGAGGCAGGAACTTTATGAGTGGGTTCCCTACTAGTCATGTTAAGGGGACTTCCAAGCTTTCGTGACACCCTGCAGTTAGGGGGACATTCGAACATCCTCTTGGGGATCCTTTGTGCACCATCCCACTGGTCAGATTGGCTCTGAGAGACCCCCAGAGTCATCAGCACAGAAAGCTGAAGAAGCTTGCCCCGAGTCACATGGCCAGCCTGCTGGGGCCAGAGTCCTCCCTCCTGGGCGTCCCCTACCTAGGAACCTATGGCCTACGGCATCTCAACTCGTTTTCCTGGTGTGCACTATCCCACCCATTCTCTGAGCAGCTATAATCAAACAAGGAAAAAGCGACGCTCATCTTTCATGAATTCCTCTTTGGTAGGTGCTCCTTGTGTTCTGACCTACCCAGGCCATCCCCTGCACAGGAGCTGGGATTCAGCCATCCAGCCACGGAGTCCCCATGCCTTCCTCCCTCTTCTGCTCCCATCCGTCCAGCCTTCCACCTTCTCACCCATCATCTCCAGCCCTCCAGCAAAGTTCTCTCAAGCGTCTAGACAGCTTTGCCCTGTGCCAGGCACTTGGAATTCCTTCTTCTTGCTCCTTCACAGGGTCCATTCCAGAAGGAGCCACTTCTCCTCGATCTCCAACAGGACCTAGAACTGTTTGCCTACACCTGCCCTGGTGGCAGTGGGAGGTTGGTTGATCTCAGGCCAAACACCACTTGCATCAAGCCCAGAATCTCCTCTCAGCACTGATATCATGCATGGACTTACAAAGCCCTAGGGTGTCTACTGAGGCTCCCTCCCACCTACCTCCACAAAGGCCCCTACTTACGAATGCAGAAGTCTCCATTCTCATAATAGCCAGGGCAGCATTGGGACCTTCGCCGGTACATGGTCCGGAGGCCACGCCTGTATGCCGTCTTATAGCTGATCCTAGGCACGAGGGAGAGAGCCACTTGAAAGGATTGAAAATCAATCTATCCCGTTTAGAATGATATTTGTGTTAAGCTCTATCGAGGATGCCATTCAATAATTACTTTAAAATGCATGGCGGCTTCGAATATGAAAGAACGCAATAAAGCAAAATCGATGGTGGGATATGGGCCGCTGTGGTGCAGAATGTATTACCCACGTGGTGCTGGAGGAACCTGCTGACTTCCCAATCTCTTCCAGATACAAGGGCTGCCAAGAACGCTGCTGGGGTGACATTGTGGAGGGTCACGGGGATGGGGCTTCCCCTAGGGCCCTTAAAAACACTGGGTTCTGGATTCAGAGAAATTCTAGGGACCTGGTTAGGAATGGAATTCTAAGAGCTTTGGTGCCCACTGCCATCCTATGCCAGGATGTTGGCCTGACCCCACTAGTGAGTAGGAGAGGAGGAGAGGCTGTCTGATTGTAGCATCCCACATGAGCTTCCTCAGGCCTCCTGCAGAGGGCGTGCTGTTCCCCAGGAAGCTCTAACCTTGCCCCCAGGCTGCCCAGGAAGAAGCTAGCAAGGGATTCTAGTCTTTACAGAGACACAATTTTTTGAGACTTGGTTCTGGCCCAGAGATTTATAGGCAAGGTTCTCCCAGCAGCCTCCTGGGTCAGGGACGATTGCCACACCCCATCATCACGCCCCATTAATTCCATTTCTCTCATTTGTCTTTTAGAGCTTTCGTTCTTACTTTATGTTTCCCCCATCCCACTACCCATTGCTTTACGGATGAGAAATTGATACTCAGAGAGGTTAATGACTTGCTTGCGGTCACACAGCTAATAAATGTCAGGGTCAGACAAGAAAGGGAAATGAGAGGTGGGGGGACCATGATTAAGGTATATTATACTCCTATATGAAAATGTCATAATAAGATCTGTTATTTTCTACAATTCATATAGGCTAATAAAAAATACATTATCCTGAGAACAAAACTGCTAGAAGCAGGATTCAAACTCAGTTCTCTCTAACTGCCAAGCCACCGGGCCCTGCATAATGCTTGGTACCAGTTCTCTCTGGTGGTTTTCTGGCCTTTCAGAGTGTTTCGGCTGCGGGTAAGACCGTAGGAGGAGTCACAGGGGGCACTGGCGAGGAAAGCCCCTGCCACGTTCAGTGCTGTAGATTTGAAATGCCTATTAAAGGCAGAGAGGAAATGCCCAGGGCCTTGAAGGCACAGCTCTTTCCCCTTCCCCATCATACCAAGGGGGTGCCCTCACTTCCTCCTCTGTGAAGAACAGTGGTGCTGAGATCCCTTCAGCCTGCTTCACACAGAGTTCTGGGACAGGTTGGGATGGCTATTCCTTCAGCTGCAGCCCGGACAACCCTCCCAAATCTTTAAAATTCTCACCTCATGACAAACGACAATGAGGGCCTCATGGGAAATCTGTGATATTTGGGAATGCATTAAGCTAAGGTCATTCTACTTTGTCAAAAACCCATAATGGGTAAGCTGGCCTCTCAGGAAGCTACTTCCCCACACACGCAGGAGGCAGTTCCTGGCCTGGCCTGGAAGGGGTGTGTGTGTGTGTGTGTGTGTGTGTGTGTGTGTGTGTGTGTAAGAGGGGGGAGGGAGGGAGAGAGAGAGGGAGGGAGAGAGGGAGGGAGAAAGAGGAAGAGAGAGAGAGAGAGAGAGATGGAGAGAGAGGGAGAGGGAGGGAGAGAGAGAGAGAGGGAGGGAGGGAGGGAGGGAGAGAGGGAGAGAGAGGGAGGGAGGGAGGGAGGGAGGGAGGGAGGGAGAGAGAGAGAGAGAGAGAGAGGATGGCCTTTATTCCGGGTTGACACAGAAGTCACTGGCCAGTCTCCCTGCCACATGAGATGATTCCCAAGTCTCCCATTGGGAGTTAAACCCTGCACCACTGACACCTCCCAGGAGAAAGGCCACCACTGTTTCTGGCTCCCCCAGCCTTGTATGCTCCCAGTGTAGGAAGCAGGGCAGGTGCAGCCTGGGGCCAGGCTGCTCCGGGGAAGATGCTGGACCAAGCTACTACACCCCGCAGACTGATGATGCCGCTGTCAGCATGCCCACTCCAGGTCATCGGAAAAGCTCCACAGAGCTTAATAATTTAGCAAAATCATTCACGTTCCAGGAACACAGCCTATTTTAATAAGCAGCCGCTCACTCACCCAGCCCCGGGGCAATGGAAGGCTGTATAGTCCCCTGAGACAATGGAGCCACACTTTGGAACAAACTCGGTATTGAATCCCAGGGTTCAGGGCAAGACCAGTGCCAACTTCCGCCCCTGCCTCTGGCAAGGGTCACAGGCAGGGGACTCCCCAGAGAGGTCAGAAGGGAGCATCAAGCAGCCGGCTAAGGATGTGTTACTAAGTGGGTGACTACTGTACACAAGGCGCTCTATCCTGGAATTGATGGGGTACAGACCAGAAATGCCTCACAGTTGTACCCTCCCCTCTTGGTGGGGAAGTTGGGGTGTTCATCCACCAACTTTCCATGTTGCCGGTTGAGGATTCCCTGCTCGCAGGTTATGAAGTTCATCGCTTCTAGTCAGAAAGAGCGCAGCTCACAGCATCTCAGACCACCAGCATTAGAGAATTCCAGGAACACAGTATGGACCGTGCACACGCCTGCCCCATGGTCTCTCAGTAACAAGCTAGAGAGCCAGGTATCTACCCCCTCATCCTGTCCCCTGGGGAGGGCTTACCGATGCCGGGTGCACTTGAACCAGTTGAGTATATCTGCGCATCGTGTGTAGTAGATCTGATCAAAGGGGTGTGCGTAAGACTCCTGCACAGTCACGGCATAGCTGAGGGCCAGACAAGAAGGAAACCATAGTCAGTGAAGGCCAAGACCATGCCAGGACAACCTCCCCTCTCAGACTTGCCCAGCCCACAGTCCCAAGACCAGGATCCAGCTCTGACCTCCCCTCCCAGCTCCCGGACTCCTGCCCTGGATCTCAGCCATGACCCTAGGTCATATCTGTGCTAGCTAGAATTAACTGTCAACTCGGCAGAAGCTAGAAATTAGCAGGAGGCCGTGCCTCTGAGCACACATGCAGGGCCCAAGGTATCCCAGTGAATGGGGGAGAAGGCCTGCCCACTGTGGGGGAACCATTCCCTGGGTTGGAATCCTGAACTAAGTGTATAAAAAGGAAAGAGTGAGTTGAGTAGCAGCATGTGGCCATTGTCCTCGGCTTCCTGACTGTGGATAGGATATGGTCAACTCCTACTGTGACATCGCCACCATGCGGACTGCGAGACAACACAAATCTTTTCTCTCATAAGTTGCTTTTGTCTGGATATTTTATTACTTTAATAGGAAAAGAAACTAAACCATAACCTTACTAACTTTTGAGCCAAGCAAATTTTTTAAAATTCTGCTTCCCTTATCAGATAGTAAGCAGAGGAAGGCTTAGGTTTATTCTGTATGGTTCCAGAAGGCAGAGTCCACAGGTCAAAAATATCCAGGTATGTTGGTATGCACCATATTGCCTCAAGCATAGAAGCTAGAGAATTTGCTGAATCAGGAGCCAGCCTGGGCAACATACAAGATCATCTCTCTAAAGTAATAATGATGGTGTGTTTGTTTGCATTCTCATTGTCTTTAACGAGTATGTATGGGAGATGCTCTTTAAAACAATTGTATAAATGGCCCCACTGCATACATGAAGAAACTGAAGCTACGAGAGGCAGCTTGCTCAGCTGTACCAGTACTGAATGTCCCCATGATAATCCCTTTAATTCCATTCTTTTCTATGTGTTTGTGTACAGGAATACGTGAGTGTACAGGCATGCTTGTATGTGTGTGGGGGGGTGGCCTAAGAACAAACAACCTTGGCTGTTGTCTCTCAAATGCCTGCCATCTTGCGTTATGAGACAGGGACTCTTACTGACTGGGAACTTGCAGAATAGACTAAGGTGGCCACAGTGAGACCCAGGGGTCCACCTATCTCTGTCTCCCCAGCACTGGGATTCCAAGAATTCATCACTATGTCTAGCTTGTTTGTTTAATGTGGGTTCTGGGAGCTCAAACTTGGGTCCTTATGCTTTCTAGGCCAACACTTGACCAACAGCCTCTTCCTGACTCTCTTATAAAGCAGGTAGAAGAATTAATCTGACTTTGAAAGATAAGGACACAGCATCACAGTCTAAGCAACTTCCCCTAGTTCTCCCAGCGACCTTCTCGTCTACTGCATCTCTTGCATGGCTGGAGCTACATAGAGTGCGTGTCTCCAGATCTTCCGAGAGAAGCAGTCATTGTCATCCTGCCTACTAGCTGTAACCTGAACCAGCAGGCGGAAGCCACATGAAGTCTGTTCTGGGCTTCACCGAAGCAGGCTTTTCCTTTGCCACCCTGGCGAGGTGACATGAAGTGGCACTACTGACGCATGTCTGCCGATGTGCGGCACACACCTCCTGGGCAGGCTGGAGAGCGTGTCAGGAATTAATTGTCACGTAGACTGGTATTCCATGTTTTCCCCAGAAGGCTCACTGACCTGGGCCAGATGGCCAGGCTCAGGCTGTAAAAGCCCATCTGCTTCGCCTGAGGAAACTGTTGTTTCATTTACAAGAGGGCTGGATGCAGTGGGACCACAGTCTGCTCCCTGAAGCCTGTGAGGCTAGAGGTCTGGAGCTCTGCAAGCAGGCCAGGAATGGTCAGCAGTGCTCAGACCCAGGCAAGTGGCGAGTTCTGACAATCAGGATGGTAACGACGTCTCTGGGGGTGGGTACTTGGGGGATGTGGTCCAGACATATAAGTCTAGGCAGGCATGGCCCACACCCCTGCTCACTGCTAGGCCTTAGGAAACAGGCAGGTCAGCATAGATTTTCTAAAATCCCACTGTACTGAGCTACATTTTGCAAGGCTGTCTCCTAGAAGGTAAATGAATGAGCCAGAGCCTGGGCCAGGAGGCCTGTGTGGGGCCTATCACTCACTAGCATGTCCTTAAATATGTCATTGAACTCCCGTAAGCCTCCATGTCCTCATTTGAAAATCTGTGACAAATATGAGGGACTTGGTGGATTACAGTGAGAATTAAAGGACAGGGACAGTAATCTGTACCTCTTGATGGAAAAAAGCAGTAAAAATGCTTCCTGGATACATAGGAAGTGCTTAATAGATGCTAACCTTCATCAGTGTGACACACAATGATTTTCCCCCTGTGGTAGGCATGGAATGACTCCTTCTTACCATGCTGGGGGCAGGGAGCAAGTCCTGCTACAGAATGGGCACCCCACCTTTGTTCACTTGGGGGTTCAGCTTGCTATTCCAGTGCTGACTGAGGCAAAGGAGCCAGTCCCCAAGGTGGCAGGTGGGGGGCCTGTTGATGTCATGGGGGAGGACTTAGCTTTGTAGGATCCCCAGGACTGAGCAAGTCCAGCAAGAGCGCCTTGTACCAGTGCCAAGTCTCCAACCTGCAGTGTGTGCCCTGCTTTCACAGCCGGGTAGTTTAACACTGCTCACTTGCCAACATGCTAATGAGGGGCTAATCCATCACATAGCACCAGGATTTACCAGCTACACACGGGGGAGCAGGGGAGAAGGGCGGTGCACTACCCTGGGTTGTGTGGTAGAGGGACATAATTAACAAGGAGTCTTCCAGAGGGGCTAATCCAGCTGAGAAAGTATCCCCAAGTACTCTGAGGACCGGGGTGTGTTTATGGAATGGAACAGGCTACATCCATCTAAACACAGCATCAGGGGATCTTGGCTGGAAGATCTAAGAAGAAGGAATCACAGACAGCCTCCTTTCCAGGGGTAGAGGGGAGAAACCTGGGTTTCACTCCTGTTTGGCTCCCTGTTCTCTCATGTAGGCCATGGCCTGAGCTGAGAGCTGCAGCCACCCAAGAGTCAGCTCACTCCCAATGTTTTCACGTTCCAACCTTGTTCGCTCTGGGCAGAGAGACAAGTAGAGTTTCACTTCAAGTTTGAATAGATTCATTATGGGTCCTGTTATAAGGGATGGCTCTCTGTAAGAGAGAGAGAAAGAGACCAAGACTCTTTCTTGGTCTTGGAAGAAGACACAGATGACCAAAGAGGCAGCAGGAATCCTAGAACCTGGCTACTGCATCAGTCTTGCCTGGCTGGATGATGGACAGCTTCTCTGGGAAAGAAGGTCCCAGCCATAGGCTAAGGAGGAGTTCTTTCTATCAGTGAGGCTCCCTGAACACTGGGAAGCAAAGGCTTAGATTCACCAACCAGGAGGAAAGGGGAAAGTGAGAAAGATGGATCGTGAACACTGAATCTGAGTCCCTGGCCTGCGCTCACGCACCCCTAGTAAGTCTCTGTGCCCGAGTGACTCCGTCCTGAGCCAATGTTGTCAATGTGAAGACAATGACTGCCAAGCACTGTCACGTACCTGGCTCCCTTGCTCCTCCCATGAGCCTGTGAGGTGAGAATGTTTACATGCCTTGCTAGATAGACCTGGTTGTGGGATCACAGTTGTTCAGAGGTTCCCCCAAGGAGCACAGCTGGCAGGTAGAAAAATCCACCCTGAAGACTTTACAGATTTTTTACATTCTTTTCAGGGCACCACAGAAATACTCTTTGCTTTAGCCTTGATGACATCACAACTCTGCATAGGACATCCAGCCACCAGACAACACACGGGAGCAGGCGCTGTCCCTCTTCTTCCCCCGAGTCTTCTTGGCCTATGGGTATCTAGGCTACCCCAGTGCCCTGTCTTGCCTCGACGAGATGTTTCTCTCTGCACAGAGACTGGCCATCCATCCTCATGGGCCTATCTTGCTTTCCCTCCTCCACCATCCATTTCCCCCATCGGGTCTCCATCTTAATTTTACTCATTTGATTTATTAGTGTCTAAGTGGCAGAGTCATCCTGGTCAGCATGGCCAATCAATTCCAGGGTTTAATTCAGTTTTTCCTGATTGGGTCTCTGGTCACTGTCTTTCTGCTCACCAAAATCAATACTTTAACCTTGGGCTTCAAAGTCAGACCCATCTGCAGGGACCCAGCCTAGACACTAGTACTCACTGCTGCAGCCTATATGTGGCAGGCTCCCCTGATGTGGTCCTGTCACCCTGCCTGAGCTAGCCTCATCTGGCCCTGCCACTTCTGCCCTGATCAAACCAAAACCAGAAGAGGCCTCCCCATCACTGCCTGGCAGAACCTGGCTATTCCTCCATTCTGTCATTGCTGCCAGTCCTGGGATACTATGACAGACATCCCAGAGTCCAAGATAAGACATGTAGAACCACAATCCATACCTCCTCTTGCCACCACTCTGGCTGTAGACAGAGACAGGACTCCCCAGGCCTCTACTCCCTCATCTGTAAATGGGTGTGTGGTAGCTGATACTGATTGATTGCCAACTTGGCCAGAACTAGAAGGCAAACTACTCATCTAGAAGGAAAACCTCCATCTGTGGGGGGTTTCTAGACTGGGTTAACTGAGATTGGAAGACTCTACCTAAAGGGGGGCAACTGCGTTCCACGGGCTGGGGTTCTGAGCTGAATAGAAAGGAGACAGAGAAGTGAGCACACGTGTTTATCTCTCTGCTTCCTGTGTGAGCCGCTGCCGCGTGTGAGCAGCCACCTCACACTCCTGCCACTGTGCTTTCCCTGCATGATGCTCTGTATCCTCAAACCGTGAGTCAAAATAACCCTGCCTTTTCTCAGCCGTATTTGTCAGATGTTTCTTCATAGCATGAGAACAGTCTCTAGTACAGGATGGGGATGCAAAGGAGGAAAGGGCAGGACAGCCCAACCGGGTGTGGTCACCTGCTGTCCACATGCCACCACCTTGTCCTCCCATGGCCCTGGGTTTCAGAAATCCACCTTGCTTTACCCTGTCCTTTAGTCTGAGCTGCCCTGACCTGTCTCACCTCCTTGTTGGACGTCAGGCCTTCCACAGCCAGCTGCTGCCTCTCCTGCCTCTAATATTTCTCCACAGTGCCACACCCAGACGGAGCCCTCCAGGGAACGCCAGCTTACCTCTCCCAGTGGCTACACACATTGGGGTCCTCAGGGTTCAGAGTGAGGGCGGCTTGCAGAAGGGAGATGACAAGGAGGCCCACCGTGGATGGCGCCATCAGGCCCTGTGTGGGAGAACAGAGAAGAAAGCGGCTTACTCAGACTTAGTATTGCAGCCTCTGTTTGGTGCTAAGACCGGTCCTCCTTCACTAAACAGGCCGGGATTCCCACAGTGGCCACACGGTAATGAGCGTGGGATTTCACATCATTGACTAACATGGAGACAGCTCTGAGTAACTGAAGAGGAGAAGGCTTGAGTCACGGGTCCAAGATCTCCCCAGGAAGAGGCCCACATGCAATACATAGGCTAAAGTTTCTTCGTGTTCAGAGCACCCCCCTGTCCCCCAGCCCCAAGTCTATCCTTGATACAGAATCGCAGATCTGGCCATTGTAGAGTCGAGGCTCTTCCCTCTCCCTCCTCCTCCTCATCTGGTAAGGCTGGGTAATCCCATTACCTCCTGCTCCTCCTATGCTAAGAAAGAGAAGTAACATAACTGCGTGGCCCATGTGGGCACTGGACTGAGACAGCACTTCTGAGCATGCTGGGCACCAGCCACCCGGAACACTAGGCCTCTGCTTCTCTTTCCTCTCCAGGATACCAGTTCCTTTGTGTCACCAAATAGCACTCCCACTGTGGGAAAAGGGGCTGGGACAGTTGGATAACAGGGCTTTAAGGAAGTGATGGGCCAGGTATCATGGCCCCTGAAGTATCACTGAACGGTAAGTACTTAATGCGGCTACACAGTTCCAACTCCCTTGTCTCCTAAGTGAGAGATCCCCAATACAGAGATGCTTAAGGAGGAAGGAGGGTGAGCCATGTGGGGGACGGGGTCAGGGATGAGTGGCCCCTGTCCTTACTCTCCAAGACCTTATGCCCCTTACACTACAGCTTCTTCCTCTCCAAGACCTTACACTCCTACACCACAGCTCTAGAGAATGCCTTCTAGTCTAAATGTTCCCACCTGATAGGCCACTGACCTTGGAGACACAGGGCAGTGAGGACATGTCAAAGGGGCTGGACCCCATGAGCCCCAGCGTCCGCTGTGAGCTGACCTAACACCATGACTCATGGCAGAGGTGCTATTATGATTTATTTAAAGGTTTTAATGAATCCAGGGCAGCTTTTCTTTTCAACCATTGACACTAAGAGAAATACAATTTCCATTAAGCAGGGCTGAGGGTGTTCTGGAAAACATTTTGACATTGGAAATCAGTCCCCAGATTTGAAATGGTTGGGTTGCTAGCCCACAGGCCCTACGTTCTTAGATGAGGGCCATTTATCCTCCTTGGGAGACAAACAAGAATGGCATTGTATTTACACATATCTCCAGACACAGACCATGCGACCTCTTCTCCAAGACGCTTAACTGTTCTGCTCCCACCTCAGGCATTCCTAGTTAAATCCTTTCTTTGGAAACCCCCCCCCCAACTACAAGCAAATCATCACAAATTCTGTGTAACCATGGGTTCTAAATTAATAACTAATGAGGTTGTACTGTCTCCATACATTCTGATAATCACACAGCTGAGTGCAGATTTAGCCAGAGATCAAGGGCATCTGCAGACCCCTTGGAGGCAGGAAGGGTGACCCTGCTGCTTCCTCTAAATTGGCAGAGTCCAAGAAGTGCAGCTACTCTCCTAGTCCCATCCTCTGCCCTCCCTGGTTTAGCAGCCGGGACTCAGCAACCACCACACACAGCCTAGAGTCCACACAGCATGGCTTGAGGGTGACGGCCAGTGTCAGCCATACATCCTCCCACTCTGTTCTCCACTAGGAGATTCAAGTAGATTCAGAATGGGACACCTAGGGCTGGGGAGAGTTGGAGAGTCAGGAGGGACAGGAACATCTTTTTCCATGAAGGTCTGGGCTGGACATCTCTGGGAGGAATGAATGACACACACAGAACCCAGGGAAGTGAGTGAGTCTTGAATGACCACTATAGAGTATCTTGTCCCTGTATCTCATGTGGCCCTACTATATGCTTGGACAGGTCCTGTTAGCTTCAGCATCCTCCTCCAAAGGACCTGAGATGGCACCTTTAAATTTAGAAGGCTTTGGCTATCAAAGTAGTGGGCCCAAGACGAGAGGAGATGGATCCTCTGGCTCCTGGGGACCCACAGTGAATGGAAGGGTTACTTGGATCATAGCCATCATAAGAAAGTTCTTAAGCAAATCAGGAGCAGAAGGAGAGAGAGCACGAGCAAGGAACTCAGGACAGCAAGGGGTGCACCCACACACTGAGACAATGGGGATGTTCTATTGGGAACTCACCAAGGCCAGCTGGCCTGGGTCTGAAAAAGCCTGGGATAAAACCGGACTCTCTGAACATAGCGGACAATGAGGACTACTGAGAACTCAAGAACAATGGCAATGGGTTTTTGATCCTACTGCACGTACTGGCTTTGTAGGAGCCTAGGCAGTTTGGATGCTCAACTTACTAGACCTGGATGAAGGTGGGGGTTCCTTGGACTTCCCACAGGGCAGGGAACCCTGATTGCTCTTCGGGCTGAGGAGGGAGGGGGACTTGATTGGGAGAGGGGGAGGGAAATGGGAGGCGGTGGCGGGGAAGAGACAGAAATCTTTAATAAATAAATAAATAATAAAAAAAAAAGAAAGAAAGTTCTTAAGAAGTCTTCGCTAAGCTGGGAGTGGTGGCACACACCTTTAATCATAGCACTTGGGAGGCAGAGGCAGGTGGATCTCTGAGTTTTAGGCCAGCTTGGTCTACAGAGCTAATTTCTAGACAGCTGGGGCTACACAGAGAAACTCTGTCTTGAAAAACACAGTAACAACAAAGTCTTCATTAGAGCTTTTCTTGCCTTGTTGGGTCTGAATGGCTCAGTATAGGGGACTCTTAACTGGCAGGAGTCACTGGAGACTGACCATGGCAGAGAAGGTGATGGTTGTCTGGATGGGCACACTGGAAGAAGAGATGGATGGTGTGGGAAAATGGTACTCAGACTGAAAGTCTGAGGCCTGAAATGTCAAGCCTCTATCCAGGGCCATGTCCAGTTCTGGTAGGAGTAGAGAGAGAAGGATGTCCGACATTAGGGGTACAATGATGATGTATCTCAGACCCCCTAACACTCAGATTCTTCCTGGAACCTGGCCAAGCCTGAGATGTATCTTGGGCAGTGGGTATGGCTCAATAGTGCATCAATAGCGTCGTGTGTGTAAGACCCTGCGTTCCATTTCTGGCACTAAAACAGACCAGCCAGTCAGCCAGTCAGTCAATCAAGACCCTACAGAGATAGCTTAGTGAGACTGCTTGCTGCATAAGTGTGAGGTCCTACGTTTGGATCCCAGCACCAGGTGCGACTACAGCACTAGGACCCCTGCACCAGGAGGGGTGGAGACAGGGGGAATCACTGAGGCTTGATGATTGCAAGTCTAGTTCTGGATTCGCCAAGAGACTCTGAATCAAGGGGATAAGGTGGAGAGTCAGATCAGGATGTCTGATGTCCTCTTCTGGCCTCTCTGAACATATGGGTATGCGATCCTGTACACAGCCACAGACAGACAGACAGAAAGACTGTCTCTCTCCCTCTCTCTCTCTCTCTTCTCTTTTTGTCAGGCGAGGCTTCCTCACTCCTGCTCCACCTCTCCCTCAGCCTGCTCTTCATCTTCAGCACCATCTACTACCCAGCAGGGCTTGACAAAGGTCAGGACCATTGATAACGTTCCTATTAGCCCCTGGACAGTGACAGCAGAGGCCCCACGCTCCAGTGTGGTCACCTGCCTTCCCTGCTATCATCCTAGCAAGTGTCCTTTATCTTTCTGATGTGTTGCAAGCAATCAGTGGTGGGAGAGAGAGCCCTACCTCCACTTCAAGCACTGACTCTCAAACAATATCACCTTATCTCTGACACTTCAGTTGAGAAGACAGAAAAGCAGCCAGGAAAAAACCTGTCACAGTGTGAGAACAACTCCTGCCCAGTCACTTTAGTGGGACTTCCCAGGAGCTCTCGAGGAGCATCTGAACCAAAGACATATGCTTATGAGATGACCAAGGGATAATCAATCCTGCCACCGTGGTTATTAGATGACTCCATTTGGAGTGACAGAGGGTAACGTATCAGGCACCATGAGGACATTAATAATTAAATAAGAAAATGCCCCAGGATCATTTCTGAGGGAGAGTCTGTAAATAAGTCATCTGGCTTCTTCCCTCTGTCCCTTCTCCCTGCATGCTAAGAGGCAGAGAGAGGAGCTGGGTTCCAGAGTTAGGGAACCCCTCCTGCTTCGGAGTGTGGGAAGCATTGTCTCTGATGAATGGAAAGACAGGGAGGTAGCCCGGTGGTGTGACTCACACCTGCCAGTGGGGTCTAATCAGTTCATGTCCCTGCCATGGCTTAAATTAAAGAAGGCCCCTATAGCACCTGCCTATGCCTGAAAACCCAAAGAAACCTCACGAGTTGGCTGAGGCCCACTGAACAAGATGGAGAGCAGCAAGTAGAGGACCTGGGAAAGCCTGGGTGGAGTAAACCAGACTTGGGACGGGTAGAGCACTGAAAAGTGGAGGCAGGCGCACACACTGGGGTGTGGAGGCAGATGCAGCAGGTCGCATTGGAAGAGCCAGGAGGGAGGAGCTTGCACAGTGGGCGAATGGAAGTGTTGGGGAGTGTTTTACAGTTTACGGGCATAGTAGAGTCCTGTGAGAACGTGACAGAAATGTCTCAGGTAAGTGGATAATCTCAGTCACCTGCTGAGTCTTTACCAGCAGAAGCTACGGTGCAGGGTGGATCAGCACAAATTAGGCTCTGAAAGGACCTAAGGAGGGAGAGACCTTCCTAGTGGCAGTCAGCTGGGTGAGCAGAGCGCCTTATGACCCCAGTGTGAGAGACTTCGCTTCTCTTATTCAAGGTCAAGTTGACCAGGAGGCCTGAATCATGCCAGTTCATGGTTTGCTCCGACACTTCAGGACCTTCTAGGTTGCCACTGGGTATCTTAAGAGACACTGATCTTGGGCAAGGGATGTGCCTCAGTCTGTGGAGTGTCTACTTATCGTGTCTCAAGAACTAGACTCACTCCCCAGCACCGCACAGATTGAACACGGTGGTGCTA